CAATGTTTGGTGAGTTTTCCTGCACTAAGATCTCTGGTTTCAGATTCATATTTAGTAACTTGTCATTGCAGACCATGCTCAGCTTTAACTTTCAAAAAGGCAATGTGCTGGGCCACTTAATGTTCCTAGTTCCATGATAAAGCTGTGGCAGAGGGTTATATTAGAAGAGGAGTTGAGAGAACTAGTGCATGTGCAAAATAGGCAAGGCAAAAACATTGCTTCAAGAAACTGGCAGAGGGAAATGTTTTGCTACTTCTCACTGAACCTTTAAATGAAGGAGTGTTGAAGGCTTCTTTAGGAAAGCTAGGGTTGCCCTTGGATTGATCAGGGTTTTAATGGAGAATCTTCTTTTAGAAATATTGGAGAACCTTCTCTGCAGCAAGTGGAAATCTGTATGCCGAGAAGGTTGACATTGCCCATCTTAAGCGTGCAAGTTACAGTACAACAAAACTTATCTTTGTCTTTTTCTTTTAGAAATGGCTCTGTTCTGTTTCTAGTATGGTCTTAATCTAAACTAGTGGAGAAAACAGTGCTGAGAAAGATTGTTCTTCTGCCTTCACCTTCCTAAAACAAATACATAGTTTGGTTGAAGCCAGTTTTGCTGACCTGGACTGGTAGTACTGGTCACTTTCTCTCTTCTGAGTTTTGGCAACAGCTGTTTGGGCCCTCTTGAACCAGGACTGATAGCAATGTCTTAAAGTAACTGAAAAGCTAAATCTGCTGTTTTGATCAGTTTGTTTTTATGCGAGTTCATTAATTTATGGGCTGGTTTTGTGTGTGTTTGATTTTTGCACTGTGCTGAAAAGTTTGCCTTTAAGAATCTTCCTAGCACAAGCAGCTACAGGAGCATCCCACGAAGGAGTAGTTCTTTGCATGTGTCCTGTGATGCTTTTGAGCATCTATGCAAGTGGCCAAAATGAGGAAGCATTTTCAGCTGGGGACTTGTGTTGGGAGAACATGAATGATTATGCTGTCCTAGGCCAGTAGCTTTTTCAGACAGCACCCAGGTCATAACACTGGAAACAGCTGTAGGGATTTTGAGTCTTAATTGTCCTCTGGCTTGTTGGTAACTGTCCTTGCAGTGCAAGCTGTTGCCTTTCCAGCAAAGAGGCTAAAAGACTGATTCTGATTTAGACCTCGCTCAGCTACCTAGCAAATAATGTAAAGTTAAACTTGAAGTGTCTTATTCTTGAAAGGGAAGCTTAATATGTTAAGTTTAACAGACTTGGTGGGAATTACTGATGAGCCAAACCATAGCCTTTTTATGTATCTAGTTACTGAATAATTGTAGGAATGTTGAAACTTAATGCATGTTATTTATACCAAGGCTCTAGCACAGAGTCTGTGTGACCTAAGCACAGTGTGAGTTTAAACACAGACGTAAGTCTTACGTTACAGATTAGCAAATAATGTAAAGTTAAACTTGGAAGTGTCTTATTCTTGAAAGGGAAGCTTAATATGTTAAGTTATGTTACAGATTTGAGTGTGCAAGGCAAATACTTTTAATTGGGTTGTGTGGGTAATTAATTTTCTTGTAGTTCACAGAGTGAACAGATTGTGCAATGAGTGAATGACACTTCCCCAAAATTCTAGTGTTCTACAAGCTGCATCACTCAAATGGGCCAGTGTTCATATTAGGGCATTAGTTGAGTACAGGAATAGGTGGTTTGATTTTTGTTTTATTTTGAGTAGTCATAGCTGATGTCTGTCTTCCTATGATCATGGAATTCTGTGATTAAAAGAATCAGATTCCTATATTTCTACAATTTGCTTGGGGGGGGGAATTGAAAATATGAGGACAAATTTCCCCAAATAATGTTATAAACAGAACTTCGTATTTTATATAGCATTAACAAAAGATTTAATGTTTGATCCACTCTCTCTGAAGTCATGGTTTCAGTATATTTAATGCAAGCATTTGGAAATTAACTTCATCAATATAGTTCCAGGTTACTAGGAGGCAGTGAGCTTGGTTTACTCTTTGCCTATTTCCATGTTGAAACTTCACTAAGGACTGAAAAGGGTGGGTAAAACAGAAACTCTGTAGACAGTCATAAACAGGAAGCTCATAAGGTGGTTTTGATGAAAAACTAAGAGGAAAACTTTAACCAGTGTCTCTAATGTGATGATTGTCCATGACAGAATCACTGATTTTACTCTGAAGCATCAGGATCTTTCTTGATATAGCTATTTAAGTCTTGTATACAAAGTGTTAAGCTAAAGATAGCAAATCAAGTGACTAATACAAATGGTTCTTGTTTGCTTTGACCTTCTTTTTCAGGTAAGAGCTTGCAGGAGCCAGTGCCACACTCTGATTTCCCAGTCGTAATACTAATTCCTGTTGCTGCTACTTTGTAAGCTTTTCACCACACAAAACCAGCGGTAACTTGCTGATGATTTTTTTTTTACATCTTGGTGATTTTTGAAAATAGTGCTAGTGGGAAGCAATGTGTGTTTTGCTTATACTGAGAATATAAAACAAAGTTAACTTTCCTGTCAGACTTTTTCGATGGATTAAACAATAAAAAAATTGTTAAAACTTCCAGATCTCAGGTTGGGTTTGCAGAGCAAATACTTAGGCAAAGAGCTGAAGCCAAAGAGGTTTGTTCCATTTATAAATAAAAAGGTGGGTCATAATGAACAAGAAATCTGTCTGCATTTTGTGGCATTATTCATTGCCTTTTGATTCTGGATCCAATATTTCTTATTTGTGTCTGGATGTTTTGTTTTACCTGACTACCTAAATTGATGTCTGATTATAAAACTTATTTCAAACTATAGCAGATCAGTACAGTAATTCTTCAAAGATTATGTATAAAAGAGCCATTTGAGACACATCATCTGCCGGTCAGAAGTGCAGAAATTGTTGCCAGGTATGTGAGG